CCTTTCATGCCCCCCAGTTCCATTACTCAGATCATGCTGCTGGCTAACCCACTGAAGGTGAAGAAAGATGCACACACACACACACACACACATTTATTTACTTACATTTACATACAATTCGTTATAAATATTAAAGCCTAACCCTAAACTTAAAAGAAAAACAGAGCTTGAGATTTAAAAACAAATTAACAAATATCTACAAATATAGGTAAAAATATAATTTAAAAAAACAAGAATTTTAAATAAATTAATTTAGTTTTTAAACCAATTTCACAAATAAGGATGTCCGCAAAAGTTGGTTTTGTCAGATGTAGCTTACTTCTGGGTGCAAATGTATCCCCAAAAGACACTTGTCTCAGCATTATTAGGACATGTGTTAAAGAGAAGTAACTTAATGTCACTATGTTTGTTTGATCTTTGTTGCCTACTGTAGAAATAAAATGGGTCATTTTCAAAAAATATAGCTTTTCTTATATAGTAAGGTTCGGTTTTAAATGTAATAATGAATTTAACTTTTGTCAAAATGTAAAATAAAATAAAGTTACAAATTGTCATAAAACAAACATTTTTAAGATTGATTACTAGGATCAAAAATGACACTATAAAACCAATAAATTATACCATTAAATCTATCTCTCTTTTTCATTAAAAACCATTTACTAAAAACATTATCACCGATAGCACACATCCATGTGGAAACAAGTGTGAACATTTTTTTTTTTTAATTACGTTTTTCAACATGGGATTTTTCAATGCATGCATATTTGGACAGTCTTCAGTCTAAAGCACTGAAAAGTCAAGGGAAATGTTTGTCACCATATTTAGAGAACTAAAAGCTCAGCAATATCTTCCGCTAGCTAGATGGACTTTAACTAGTGTCATTTAAAAGCAATTGCTTGTGTGCTTTCATGATGATACCATTTCTATGATAAACTAAATGGTTGTGTTAAATGTATTTGTGTTTCTTTTGCAGGAGAAAGTGAGAATGAGGTACAAGCTGACATTCATCCTTGGAGATCGACAGGTCACAGAGTCTGGAGAGATAGACAAGTTCCCTCCAGTGGAAAGATGGGGTCATTTGTAACGGTGTAAGCATTAATACTCATGAAGACAAATGAAAAACTCGGTGTGTAAGTGCATGGATGAGCCATCAGCAGTATCACAGAGAGATTTAATGTCCAGGACGTTACCTTTGACACACTGGGCGTTAAACTTGTGAATCCCAATCTCTGAGTAATCCCACAAATGTCTTGATGTATTGGTCTTGGTCATTAGGTACTGTTGTCATTAATATAAATATGTCGCCTATGAGCATTTGAGTCATAATGGGTCATTTTATTGTTAGCCACAACTAAACTATTCAACTCATACCTCACCCTGAAAGCAGTGGAGGGTAATGTGATAACACTGGACATGTTACATCTTTTCTTTCAATCCATTTTCCTTGATGTGATGCATCAGTTGTGTTTTTGTGCGTTGTGATTTGTATTGATGTTCTTTTTTTATTGAGTTTTACATATTTATTTCATTACTATTCAGATTTGTGGTGTTTGACATGGCTGGCCTCACTGGTTTAAAGCCAAATTGAGTTTGTTTTACATCAGATAACAGTCCCACAAAGAAGTGTGTGAAAGGTGGTGCAAAGCATACTTTGACTTCTGTGTTTTTGGGTGAATGCAAAGTATCGGTTTCACTTCATTTCCTTTTTTTACACAGCTGGAAGGAGTCACTTATATAGTGTTTTTCTGATTTCGGATGTATATAATTGGAGAGGAAGTTGTTTTGATGTTTTGGAAACTTTACATTTTGGGGTTATTAAAGATTCCATTATTTACATTATAAACGTTGACTGTTAAAACTGTTAAACGTGTGTTATGGAAGGAATGAAAGTCTTTTGGTATGGTTTTTTTTTCATTTTGGTTTACAGCAGTTGCCTCAGTATTGTTTTGCTTTACTGGATGTGTCCAGCAGTGTATTTTGTGTGTGTGTGTGTGTACGAGAGAGAGAGAAAGAGATGGGGAAAATCATATTAATAAAATTGACTTTCTAAATTATTTAAAAGAAGAGCTTCATGAATCTTCCAATGATGCTGTTCTTTTTAGATTTTAAGTAAAATTTGCAATTCAACGCAATGTATACGGTTTTAAAGACAAATAAATATATTGTTTTGATCAATTGTCTGAATTTTACATTGCAGTATAATGTGTCTGCTGGTTGCATTCTGTTTGTTCCAATTACGCACACTAAGTTTTGCTGCAGAAATGCAGCTGGTGACATCCCTGCCTGATTTTGTCTATAGGCAACAGGGAGGATAAGGGTCAGTAATGGTTATTGATATGTAATTATAATTTCTCTAAATTGCCTGTCAAATTTTCATAAGCAGGTGCTTTTGGCCTGGCACTTACTTAATTTGCGAACACAATTTTAGTCCACACAGGTACTTTATTTGGAAAAATCATAATCAGTTTAATAATAATATTCTTTTGGTCTCTCAACTTGTGAATTCAAATGGTCTCTTGCGTTCTTATTCTGAATTCTTAACTAAATACTGTATGGATGCCATCCCCAGTGGAGTAATGCACTTTTTTTTTTTTTTAAACTGCTGATTCTTTACCCTCTTGCATTTCATGGACACATCTCTGTAAAACAGCAATATGGAAGATTTGCTAACTATATCCTCTTCCAGTAATGTCAAAGCCTTAAAATTCTATAAGTTGTGCACAAAGTATAATATTTGTGCTTTTTTTATAATGTGCTATTGTGTTAGGAGGGTGGGGTTTATTTAGGATTTTTTATTTATTACCTCTTCTTCCTCCTTAAATCTAATTTATATATTACCCCTGGCTTAATGTTTTGTTTTTGGGTTATTTTACTGGTTCTTTGTATATTGTTTATATATATATTTATTATTGTTGTAATAATCAGTGTTGGGGGTAACGTATTACAAGTAACGCAAGTTACGTAATCAGATTACTTTTTTCAAGTAACTAGTAAAGTAACGCATTACTTTTTAATTTACAAGAGAATATCTGAGTTACTTTTTCAAATAAGTAACGCAAGTTACTTTTTTTTTCAATTTATTGATTGACAGCTCTCCTGTCCCCATGTTGAGAGAAATCAGAAGATGTTACTGTAGTTCTAAATGAATATGAACATGCATTAATTCATCTCACTCACACACAAAAAACACACAGATTCAGTATTCCTCAAAATGAATAAAAAATAATGCAGCTCAGAATATGACGCAAACCTGCAATAATTCAATGTTAAACAACACAAATATCCTTTATGTATTTGATCCCATTCTATTAACCAATGTTTTGTACTTCTGACCTTCGATGATTCAGTTCAACCATACTAATAAGCAGAAATTACTCTAGACAAACATTTGTGTCTTTTTTTATTGCTGAAGTGTGTTGAAATGACTTCTGCATTCTACTGTACGGACGTAAATGTACTTTCCCTTCAGCCTGAGGCTTATTCCTTTCACTTTTGGTGTAAAACGGTTTTTATATTTGCCAAAAATAGAACTTTTTTATTTGAAAAACAAACAAGCAAGCCCTGTCCAGATTTAAAAAGTAACG